CAGACGCCCCCTCCTGGACGCCGAGCTTCCGAGGCGGGAATTTATGCACGACCACCGCCTGGAGGGTCAGTTTTCTGAGCCTCGGCAGGCGGTGGATATGGACACATGCGGGCCCCCCGGGGGCCGAAACATATCCATGTCCACCGCCCGCTGGGGCTCCCAGGGCGTCGGTTCCCAGGCGGTGGATGTGGATCGATCCCCGCCTCGCCGAGCTGCCGTTGTCTCAGCTGGCCCTGCTCCGGCCGTCGCCGGGCAGTCTGGCGCGCCCCCGCGCGCGCTGCTGGCCAGCGTCAGCGCCTCGGACGCCGAGCTGCTGGAGGGGGCGCGGCGGGAGCTCGCGGAGCTGGAGGCGCGGAGCGGCGGCAGGATCTCAGGCGTGAGGTCGGGCCTGTCCCTCTGCAGGAGGAGCATTCAAAGATTAGTCAAAAAATGAGCCTGGGGACTGTTTCTTCCGTATTTCCCCAAACAGCTTGCTGAACGGGGTGCTGTTGTGATAGAAGCTAATTCCGGCCGAGGGAAAGCTAAGCAGAGACATCCTCAAACAAATGTGGTGGTCCGGCCCGTTTCGCCTGAGACATCCTCACAACTCTCGTTTCTGAGTTGTCCGGGATTGAGCGTTTCGCCTGAGACATCCTCCTAAATCTGAGCTCTGAGAGGCCGCGCGAGAGGTGGTCCGGGCCGTTTCGCTTGAGACATCCTCGAAACTCTGAGCTCCCAGATGCCGCGCGAGAGGTGGTCCGGGCCGTTTCGCCTGAGACATCCTCGCAACTCTGAGCTCCAAGATGCCGCGCGCGAGGTGGTCCGGCCCGTTTCGCCTGAGACATCCTCGAAACTCTGATCTCCCCGATGCCGCGCGCGAGGTGGTCCGGCCCGTTTCGCCTGAGACATCCTCGAACTTCTGAGCTCTGAGATGCCCTGCGCGAGGTGGTCCGGCCCGTCTCGCCTGAGAAATCCTTGCAACTCTGAGATCTGAGATGCCGTGCGCAAGGTGGTCCGGCCTGTTTCGCACAAGATATTCTCGCAACTCTGAGCTCTCAGATGCTGCGCAAGAGGTGGTCCAGCCTGGGGGCCCAGAAGGCCACATGTTACATATCCTCCATGGGACCCTGCGAGCCTCAGGAGGCCCCAGAGAGGTCCAGGAGGCCGCAGGACGCCCAGGACAGGCCCCAGGGGCCCCCAGGAGATTCCCAGGAGGCCCCAGGAGGCCCTCTATCAGAACGTGTCAAGTTAATACACATCCGGTGTCGATTCGTTGATTTTTCCTGCTCTTGTGCCCCCCCCTCCATTTGGAGAGGCCCAAGCGGCCACAGGTTAGATATCCCCCCTGGGAGCCCCAAGATGCTTCAGGAAACCTCAGGTGGAGTTCAGGAGGCCACAGGAGGCCCAGGAGGAAGCTCCAGGAGGTCCCCAGGAGGCCCAGGAGGCACCAGGAGGCCGCAGGACGCCCAGGACAGGCCCCAGGGGTCTCCAGGAGATTCCCAGGAGGCTCCCAGGAGGCCCCAGGAGGCCGCTTATCAGAACGTGTCAAGTTAATACACATCCGGTGTCGATTCGTTGATTTTTCCTGCTCTTGTGCCCCCCCCCCCCTCCATTTGGAGAGGCCCAAACGGCCACAGGTTAGATATCCCCCCTGGGAGCCCCAAGAGGCTTCAGGAAACCCCAGGTGGAGTTCACGAGGCCACAGGAGGCCCAGGAGGAAGCTCCAGGAGGTCCCCAGGAGGCCCCAGGAGGCACCAGGAGGCCCCCGCAACTCGGAGCTCTGAGACGCCGCGCTCGAGGTGGTCCAGCTCGTTTCGCCTGAGACTTCCTCGCAGCACGTTTCGCCCGAGACATCGTCGCAACTCTGGGGTCCGAGATGCCGCGCGCGAGGTGGTCCAGCCCGTTACGCTGGAGACATCCTCGCAACTCTAGGCTCCGAAATGCCGTTCGCGATGAAGAGGAGGTGGGAGGAGGAGGAGGAGGAGGAGGAGGAGGAGGAGGAGGAGGAGGAGGAGGAGGAGATGGAAGGGAGAAGGAGGAGGCGGATGATGTGCATGAGGGAGCAGGCAGGAGGAGGGGGAGGTCCCAGAGAGCTTCAGGAGGCCGCAGGACGCCCAGGACAGGCCCCAGGGGTCCGCAGGAGATTCCCAGGAGGCTCCCAGGAGGCCCCAGGAGGCCCTCTATCAGAACGTGTCAAGTTAATACACATCCGGTGTCGATTCGTTGATTTTTCCTGCTCCTGTGGCCCCCCCCTGTATTTGGAGAGGCCCAAACGGCCACAGGTTAGATATCCCCCCTGGGAGCCCCAAGAGGCTTCAGGAAACCTCAGGTGGAGTTCAGGAGGCCACAGGAGGCCCGGGAGGAAGCCCCAGGAGGTCCCCAGGAGGCCCCAGGAGGCACCAGGAGGCCCCCGCAACTCGGAGCTCTGAGACGCCGCGCTCGAGGTGGTCCGGCCCGTTTCGCCTGAGACTTCCTCGCAGCACGTTTCGCCCGAGACATCGTCGCAACTCTGGGGTCCGAAATGCCGCGCGCGAGGTGGTCCAGCCCGTTACGCTGGAGACATCCTCGCAACTCTGGGTTCCGAGATGCCTTTCGGGATGAAGAGGAGGTGGACGAGGAGGAGGAGGAGGAGGAGGAGGAGGAGGAGGCATGTTTTAACATGCCATGCCAGCCCGCACTAGGCGGGCACGCAATCGACCTTGGAAACCGCAGTGGGTCTAAAAACCCTGTTTGGGGATACTGCACTCCGGCTATAATTTTATAGTTTTTTGTTGCTTTTTTGTTGTTGGAAATTTGTGGAATCTTTGAAATTCTCGTCCAAAATCCCCCTGGAGGGGGACAGGCCCGACCTGATTTTAGGCCTCCCAGATGTGGCCTGAGCACACGGGGCCGGAGGATCGCGCCGCGTCGCCGACGCATCGCCGATGCGGCTCGATTCGGAGCCAGATTTCCTCCGCGCGGGCGTCGCAGATGCATCGCTGGTGCATCGGCGATGCGGCGCAACCCTCCGAGCCCATCTACGCGGACCCCACCTGGGAGGCCTCCAAGGATGGAGGTGCACACGCTGGTACACCAAGGGCGCTTGGCGCAGTTCGCGCACATGCCGGCGGCCCGCCCGTGGGCGAGGCAGATCACAACGAAACAGGCGGGCCCCGAGGTTTCTCGTCGTTCTCGGGCTCCCGTGGGGCCCTCCACGGGCCACGGGGCTGTCAAAGAGCAGCTCAGCATGCAGCACAGGTCCCAGAGGAGGGCCCCCGGTGTCCCTCCGGACCAGGGTACCCGTGTCCTTCTTGGGCGTTGCGTAATGGAGGGGTCATAAATGGGGGGGTGTCGCGGGTGGTCCGAAAAGGTACCCAAACGGTACCTAAACGAGCCCCCTGGGGCTCCAGAGGGGCCCGAAAGGGGCACGAAAGGGGACCTTTTCTGACCCCCCCATTTGTGACCCCCCCATTAAGCAACGCCCAACCTTCCTGCCCGGCCAGGGGGGCCAGTCTTGTCAGATGGCGACGGGGCTTCTCAGCAGCCCCGCTGCCTCAAAGACGGCCGGGCCCCCTCTGCTGAGCCCCTGGGCGGGCCGCCGAACATGGCCGAGCTGGCCGCCCTCCTTCGGCGCATCGTGGGCCACGGCAGCAGCGAAGCTCCGGCCGGTGGCGCTGAGCCTGACTCCGGGGGCATCGACTCGTACTGGCTGCTGTTCACTGACGACGACGACCTCTGGCACCCTGAGCGGACACTGGTGTATCCCGAAGAACGGAGCACAGCATGACCGCATCAACTGTCGGAGGTCCGCGCGGATTCCTCGGGTCGGCGCCGGAACCCCTGCCGGCGCCGCCCCCGGTGCGCCCCTGCGCCAGGGGGGGGGGCCCAGCGCCGACCCAAGATATCCGCACGGGCCTCTCCGAACTTTTCCGCCAGTGCTGTGCTTTCGTCTTCCAGCATCGCAGGGCGATTGCGGGCCTCGCCGGCCGGGGCCCGAGGGGCCCAGTCGCGGTACCACAGTACGCCATGCGAGTGTTGTCACAGGTGGCCCTGGCCCAAGTGGTGTCCCCCCAGACGTGCGACGTCCTGCTTTTTCCTGTGCAGGGTCCCTGGAAATCCCGACCCTTTCCCCAGGACCGGTTCTTCATCCTGAGTGGTTGTTTGACGGCCCTGAGGCCCGGCGAGGGCCCCCCCAGGCCGAAAGTGGCCAAAAACCTCCCGTCCGGATTTTTTCACGACGTGATCATGTCTGGGCCCAGGATTTCTAAGGAGGCCCCCGCGGCCTCCAGGGCTCCCTTCACGAGGCCCAGGGAGCCTTGAGGGTGTCCAAGGTGGCGCGAGGAGTCGGGGACGCCCTGGGCCGGGACCACTTCTGGCAGCACCCGGGCCGTGAACACCGCCGACGAGCCCCCCGAGTGCGCCAGCGCCGAGGACGTGGAGGAGCAGCTCGTGGCTGGTCGCGCGGGGCTGGTCACGTACGGCCCGGAGGAGGCTCGGGGCGAACGAAAGGGGGGGATAGGGAAAGGGCGTTACGAAATCTGCTGCATGCACCTGGTTTCAGCCCTGCCGCCGGGCCCACTCCTCGATACATGGGCGCCTCCCGGCGCTGGGAGGCGGCGGGAAAATCAGCTACGCGAGCTGATTCTCAACCCCCCCCTTTGTTATCCCCCCCTTTCGCCCAGCTCGAGAGGCCCGGGAGAGGTCCTTCCTGGAGTTCTGGCTCCACGCCGTGCCGGCGCGTGTGCTGCTGGACTTCCTGGCGTGTACGCCGCACACCACGCTGCACCACGGGCTCTGTGACGTCCGCTTCTCCACCTTCGTGCGCGACCACGCGGGGGCCGCGACCGCCATCCACACGGTCCCAGCCTCAGAGGGGGGCCCAGTTGAGGCAGCTGTACTTGGCCTGCGGGGTGGGGGGGCTCGTCGTGACGGCAGGACGCAGCTCGGACACACGCGTGCGCTTGGACCCCCGGAGAAGTCCAGGCATCAGCTCCGAGCGGCCGGTGTCTCAGCTCGCCCTGCTCCGACCAGCGCTCTCCTGGATGTACTTCCACCGGCAGCACGCGGCACAGGCGACCCAGGGCCTCAGGTCTGCCGCGCCCGTGCACGAGGCCGACCTCGAGGTCGCCGCGAGGCTGCGCGAGCGCCTGCATACGCCAGGGCCCGCGCGGCAGGCTGCCGACGCCGCGGGCGACCTCGTCGCCCAGTTCGTGGCCGAGATCCGCAGGGACGTGGAGATGCTCGTGCTCTACGGGCAGGTCGCCGTCGGCGACATCGTCGAGGCCAGCCTCCGCCGCCACGGGCTGCTGGGAACGCCCGACGCGCACGTCTGGGAGGGCGTGGCCGCGGAGATCGCCGCGGAGGCGATCTTGGCGGCGCGCACGTGGTCGGAGGGCCAGAGGCTGGAACGGTTGGATATAGGGAGTCGCTCCGCCGGTCCTGGCCCACCACGCTTCGGCGCGACACGCTGTCCACGTCCCGCCCCCCAGGCGTCAGCGTCCTGAGCTTTCCCCGTGGCCCCCCCGCGGAGCGGAGCGACACGCTGCCCGATCGCAGGGCACAGCGTGTCGCCCCGGAGCCGCCGCCGCGACATATGCTGAGCAAAGTTCTTGACCGTACACCTGCACCACCCCCAGCCAGGCCAGTCCTGAGAAGGCCGCGACGCTCGAGACATCTTCCAGAGCCGCCAGATCTCAAAGATTTTCCATTCATCCTCACCGGATGTTCTCCTCGTCCCGGCTTCACCTAACCTGGGCTACGGTCGGACCGAGGTATAGGATCGAGGTCGGTTCGGAGAGGGTACCCTTGTGCTCCTCGTGCGTTGTTGGATGTTCCACCCCCAGCCAGGCCAGCCCTGGGCCCAGGATCGGTGCGCATGTGCCTTCCTCAAGAGACCCGGAGGGCGCACGCGGCGCCGATGCTGAGTCCAGGATGGGCCTGGCCAGGATCGGTCCAGGTGTGTATCCCAGTCATCCGCCGATGTTCTCTTGGTCCATCCGCGGCACGACCGCTTTCCCCAGGTTGTTTTTTCGCCCCCGATCCGTTTTTGATGGCCCCGGGGCCCGATCATAAGAGTCGCCTCAGATGCCCAACACATTGAAGAGCCCAGGCGCTCCGATTCCAAAGACATGTCGTAGGAGATCTGGGTGGATGGTTCGGCGGCGAGCCCACAGGGGACTGCGGGGCTGCCGGGGGGGCGGCGGGCCTTCTCGGATGGCCACGGGCCTTCTGAGGAAGTTTTCTGAGCCTCCTCCTCCTCCTCCTCGAAGCCAGGGACGGCCTCTCAGAAGGCCAGGAGGCCTTTGAGAAGCCCCGCTGCCTTCCGAGAATGCCTGCCCCCTATCGCATCCCCCATGGGATCGCCCCCGACTGGGCGGAACCCTGTGAACCTCGCCGGACGGGGCTAGGACGAGGATAAGTCCGTTCCGAAGCGTTCCAGAACGCTCTCAGAGCGCTCCAGAACGCTCTGAGAAGGCCGCGACGCTCGAGACATCTTCCAGAGCCGCCAGATCTCAAAGATTTTCCATTCATCCTCACCGGATGTTCTCCTCGTCCCGGCTTCACCTAACCTGGGCTACGGTCGGACCGAGGTATAGGACCGAGGTCGGTTCGGAGAGGGTACCCTTGTGCTCCTCGTGCGTTGTTGGATGTTCCAGTGCACCTTGGGGATGGGCGACGAAGAAAAAGCGCCATCAGCATAAGCTTTTGGCGCTCCGCTCGGATTTCTTGGCTCTGCGCTGGACCCCCCTCCCTGGCGCGCGGAGCGCGCCAGGGGCGGCGCCAGAGGCGCCGGGGGGGGGGGGGGGGGCCCAGCGCAGATCCAACAAATTCCGCGCGGAGGGCCAAACGCGTAAGTTGATGGCGTGTGTTCTTCCTCTCGAGGGTAGCCCCGAGGTAGAAGATCGAGGTCGGACCGAGGTATAGGATCGGGGTCGGCTCGGGGAGGGTGCCCTCGAGCTCTTCGTGTGCCGTTGGATGCTCTTGCGCGCCCTTAGGGAGGGCGACCCCTTACCGTCGTGCGCGCCGCCGAGCCCTCCCCAGCAATCGAGGCCGGCGGTGGGCCGAACCAGCTGCCCCTCGACCGCGGCCTTCCCCGAGCCTGCCCACCTCGAGCTTTCGGGGGTGGACAGAACCCCCAACAGTGACACGTCGATTAGTGAATTGTCCGATTTCGGTTTTCGAGAGGGCGCCGTGGCCGTTATTTTCCAGGCTTGCGCCCGCCAGGTTTGGGCCTCAGGTCGTTTTCACAAAACCACGCTTTACTAAAGGGGGTTCTGTCCATCCCCGAAGCTTGGGGAGAGGCGGGGAGCGCCCGCCCGATCCTTCCCCTCCGCCCTCGTGCGCGCCGCCGAGCCCTCCCCGTGCTCGCGCCCCCCGCGGACGCTGCCCGGCCGGCCTCGCCGGAGGACGAGGCCGCCGCGGGGGCGGCCCTGGCGGCGGCGCGCGCCGAGCTCGCGGCCCGGGCGGCGCGCCGGGCGGCGCCGGCGGGCGCCGCGCCTCGAAGGGGGGGCCACGCGGGGGCCACGCCAGGGGCGGGAGGGGCAGAGGCAGCTCGCTGCGGTGCCCTCCTCTCTGTGCATGTCTGATGCTTCGAGGGTGCTTTGACTTTTTGGGGGGGGCCAAGGTCCTTTCGTTTCTGAGTGTTCTGTCCTGGGCCTCGTCCTGGCCCCCAGGGGGCCAGGAACAGTTGGAAGCGAGCGCAATGAGAAAAATGAGCACGATTAGGAATGAAGGACGTGTACGATTCGATTCGGCCGACCTGGGTTCCGGTGTCTCCTTGGAGGCATGCTGGCTTGCCGATGTCCGCCGACTCGGCTCATCCCGACTTGGCTGCCGATTTCCGCCGATCCGGCTCATGTCGATCGCCGATCTGACTTATCGATTCGGTTCTGGGCTCTTCTGCGGGCAAAGGCAGCTCGTGGAGAGAAGTCGGCGGCGAGCCCAGCGGGGGGGAAAGATGAGAGGGAGAGGCAACAGGGAGGAGCACCCACGCCGACCCCGAGAAGTGGCGTTTCGTGAAACGGCCCTGGGCGTCAACTAAACAGTCCTGCGTTGTTCGACTCCTTCCATGGATTCGATTGCTAAGTGGCTTCGCCTGTCGGAGCGCTTATATCCTGAGGGTGGATTCTTGGCTTCCTTCCATGGATTCGATTGCGAAGTGGCTTCGCCTGTCGGGGCGCTTATATCCTGGGGGTGGAATCTTGGCTCCCTGGAGAAGGCTTTCTCAGAATGCTCGGAAGTCGCTCGGCCTTCTGAGGAAGTCTCCTGAGCCTTCCATGACGGCACAGGTAACTTCCCAGAAGGCGCGAGGGCTTTCGAGAAGTCCCGCCCGCCGCTTTTGAGCAGGCCTTCGCCTTCTCACTTCCTCGCTCGCCGCCGAAGAGGGTCCAGTTCGAGGTCGGAAGGGGCTCGGTGGCTCCTCAGAGGTTCGCATCGCTTTCCGCTGCTTTCTTGGGTGGCGGGCCCCTTCGGTGCTCCTTCGGATTTTGCAGCCGTTCCCTCGGATGTCACGGCTCGACTTGGAAAAACAGGGGCTTCGTTCCTTGTTTATCGTTCTTTTTTGGGCAGCCCGGCTGTATAACCAGAGCCTCGGGTAAGGGGAGCGGCTTACTGATTAGACCCCGAAGCCCAACAAATCAGCCAGAATCACTAAACTAGGTCTGCGGTAGCAGGTGTTTTTCGGGTGTCGGTAGTTTCGGTTAACGGAATGGGGCGGGGGAGGCGTCTCCGAGAACGTATAACTAAACCAGGTCCCACTAGATTTGGTTCCGCCAGTGCTTGAATAGGACAATTTTTCCCCCCCTGGCGATGACGGGCGTGACTGGGAGGCCGGGGGGGAGGGGGCCGGTCACGTCACGATTCATGCCTGTGCCGTTTGGGCATGCTTCAGAACGGCTCATTCCCAGACGGCGCCGGCGCGAATCGCTACGTGACCAGAGGGGATGAGAGGGGCCGGCGGTGCCGGTCACGGGCGTCATCGCGAGTGATAAAGTAGAATTGGCTCCGTGCTCGCGTCGCGGACAGATCAGTGCGTGTGGCTTTCGCCGTCTTCGGCTTCTGGGGGCCCTCGCCGGCTTCCGGGGCCGTCAAAAAACGCCCCAGGATGAAAAGCAGGCCCTGGGGAATTTGTTGGGATTTTTGGGGACCCCTCGTTGATAAAAGCCAACACACTTGGTGTCTGGGACCAAGACGTCGCGGGATCTTGTCGACGACGATCTTGGTCACGGTGCGTGCCTGCTGTCGCCGACTCGCAAAGGTGGTCCACGAATTGACGATGGCCAAGATGGATGGACGATGGTAAAGATCGGCACTCACACATGAGATGTCTGGATTTTTTGGATGAGGGGTCCGCGCAAGTCCCGATCATTCCCCGAGTGCCAGCTTCTCAGCCCGAGCCATTTTCTGACGGCCCTGGGGCCCAGCAAGGGCCCCCCGAGGCCGAACGCGACCAAACATTTCCCGCCGTGTTTTTTCCAGGACGCGAGCGTGTCTGGAGTGTTTCCGCGTTCAGCCTTGGTCCAGCCACGCGCAAAGCGTGGTGGGGAGAGGGGAGAGTGCTTCTTAGAAGCACCCCTGCTTCTTAGAAGACACGGGCCTCATCTATAGATGTAGGGCCGGCGCCTTCTGAGAAGCAGCCTAAGAAGCCTTCCCCCCTTCCCAGAGCCCCCACGTCATGATTTTTTCATAACGTCGAACCCAAGGGGTGTCGACCCCTTCCTGGGACTGGTTTTTGGTTGACGGCCCCGAGGACCGGCAAGCGCCCCTAGAGGGCGAACATCGCGATCAAATATCCCGTCGGGCTTTTGTTCCTGACTCGAGGGTGTTTCGGTTGGGAGGCTTATAGAGGCCCCAAAACAGGTAGCAAAGGGTAGGGTAGAGAATCAGCTAACGTAGCTGGTTTTCCTGGCGCCTCCTAGCGCCCAGAGCCGCCCGTGCATCGAGAACTGGGCCAGGCGGCGGGACCGAAGCCAGCTGCACCCAGCAGATTTCGTATCCCCCCTCCTTCCCGATCCTACCTTATGGTTCTTGGCCCGAATGTTGTCTGGATCGGTGCGCGCCGCCAAAGTCTAGGGCAACGAACAATGACAGAAACATGAAAAACTCAGAGGTCCGAGCGGATCTCACGGATCCGCGCTGGACCCCCCCCCCTAGCGCGCGGAGCGCGCCAGGGGCGGCGCCGCAGGCGCCGCCAGGGGGGTCCAGCGCGGATCCGAGAAATCCGCGCGGACCTTAGAGTTGTTTCATGTTCATGTCGTTGCTCGCTCACCTAGGAGTCGTGGCACTCGCTTGCCTTCCCTCCGGCTCCGCCGTGGGGGCCGCCGGCCCCGCGGCGGGTGGCGGGCGGGTCCTGGACCCCGGGGGGGGGCGACGCGCGCTGGCCGCCGAGCTCGAGGGAGGGAGGGCGCTGAGAGAAATGCGGTGCGTCCCTGGCGTCGTCCTTCGTCCTTCGTCCTTCGTCGTCGTCCTTCGTCGTCGTGCTTCGTCGTCGTCCCCAGGGGAACGAGCAATGACATAAACATAAAAACTTAGAGAACCGCGCGGATTGCTCGGATCGGCCCTGGACCCCCCTAGCGGCACGGCGCATCCGGCGCCGCCCCTGGCGCGCTCCGCGCGCCAGGGAGGGGGGTCCAGCGCCGATCCGAGAAATTCGCGAGGACCTCAGAGTTTTTATGTTTATGTCATTGTTCGTTTCCCTAGTCCCCGATGGGATGCCGTCCTTCGGCGTCGTCGTCGTCGTCGTCGTCGTCGTCGTCGTCGTCGTCGTCGTCGTCCCTCCTCCATGGGGCGACGAAATCTAGTTATACATCTCCGCTGCTCCGGCCCATCCTGAGGCCTGCTGGGCCCAGGAAGGGCTCAGGAGGGAGGGCGCTGACAGAAATGCGGTGCGTCCCCCCCCCTCCCCGATGGGAAGGATCGGCGGCGAGCGACAGGGGGAAATGAGAAGGAGACGGCCTTCGGAAGGCAGCGGGGCTTCTCAGAAACGCCCCAGCCTTTGACAGGTTCTCTGTGTCTTCGGGGAATGCTTCCAGAAAGTTTCTCAGAAGGCTGGGGGACTTCCGAGCCTCCTAAGAAGGCCCACCCCTTCTCATTGCTCCCCCTGGCTCGCCGCCGAATGGAGGGGGACGTCGACGACGACGACGACGACGACGACGACGACGACGACGACGACGACGACGACGACGACGACGACGACGACGACGACGACGACGACTGCGACGATGACGACGGCTGCGGCGGCGGCGACGACGACGGCGGCGGCGGCGGCGGCGGCGACGACGACGACGACGGCAGCGGCGGCGACGGCGGCGACGACGACGACGGCGACGACGACGACGACGACAGCGAGCGCCCACGACGCGGAGGGTTTTTTTTTGGCCTCCAGAGGCCTTCGAGCCCAGAGCCACGACGGGAGGTTTTTCGCTATTGTCGGCCTCAGGGGGCCCTTGCCGGCCCTCGGGGCCGTCAAAAAACGACTGCGGATGAAAACGGGTCCCGCGGAGGGGTCGGGGTCGACGTTAATCGATTAACTTCGACCCAGTATACCTCTGGCATATTTAATGCCCGCAGTCGAAAAATATTATCTGGAATATTTTTACGCCGAAAGGAAGCCTAGGGTCTATGAAGAAATCATGACGCCGCGGGTCTGGGAAACGCGCGACGCAGAACAGCGGGGTCGACTGCGCGGACACTCGCGCGCACGCTGCCCGGCGCAAGGTCGCGCGTGAGCGCGCCCTTGCTTCCAAAGCAAGTGCTGCGTGCCGCGCTGGCGACCCGCGTGCGCCGCGGCGTGAGGTCGCTGTGCCATCTCGCGTGAAGCCCGCCTCCTTTCGTCGCTCAGATGGAGGACGAGTGCTCCAGATTTCGTAATAAAGGGAGGGGGGTCTCATTTCGGGGGGGGGGGTCTCTTCCAGGCTATCTTGGAGGGCCTGGGGGGGTCTGGGGACGATGTTCTCGTCTGGGAGGGTCTACAACTTCTCGTCTGGGAGGGTTGAGACCCCCTCCCTTTTATTACGAAATCTGGAGTAGATGGGGTCGGAGGTCGGAGGATCACG